AGATAAATTCTTGTGCTCACTCGACCACAATTTCTGGTAATATGATATAGACTATTGTAGCAGAAAATAGATCTTCTTCTTCTTCTTCTTCGTCTCCTTCTTTGTTCTCTTACTCCCTCTAAAGCAATGAGATTGATGCAAAGGTGAGATGAGTTTGTGTAGAGCAGGAGAATGAATTCAGTTGACAGCAGAATCAAGATTTTTGTGTTCACTTCTCCGACCGCTCACTCTCTGCCGACTGACTGATAATTTAGTAGTCAACGCCTGAATAACAAACACTTTCTCGGGCTTCTTCTTCTTCTTCTTCTTCCTCTGCTTTGTCAAATTGCTTCTCTTGTCGAAGTTGCAGCAGCTCTTGTTTTTGCTTATGATAGATAGACTGTGACAGACTTCTTCATCATCATCAAAAGGATACTAGCGATAATAGTGCAGCTAACGAAAACCACTTTTCCTCTTGGCACCAACCAATTAGCCGAAAACAATTTTCTCTCGCTGTAATTATTATTTTAAGCATGTGATATTCGGCTCGGCTATTTATTTATATTCAGTATTACTTCTACTACTACTACTACTACTAATACTGACTTTCAACGTGCGCCATTGGTCCCGATTGACGACCATTCATGAACAAGTTGGTCAGTCAGTCAGTCTCTCCTCTCTCTGTCCTTTCCGCAAACGAGACGTGAGAATCAGGCAGTTCGCCCACCCCCAACACGCCACCCCCTTCACAACTCTCCCATCCCGTAAACCACCATCATTTATATAATTTGAAATGACACAACGCAATCACCACATGGATTCCACTCTCAACATACCATACAGCGCTTAGTTCTCCCTTGCTTGACGCACAGCCAACTAACTATGCAGACAACTTAATATAATGGATGTTATCACATTATTAATTACACATGATGATGATGATGATGATGATGATTTTGATTCGATTCGATTTGAATTGAATTGAATTGAGTTTTCTTCGTTCATACCATCCACCTTTTTTCTTGTCACTGCAACACCACGACCCCTACCCCTACTCCTACTCCTACTCCATATCACTTTCAGCATCAGCATGAGATTATAAATTTCATGATAAATAATTGACCTGTTCAAATGTTGCAGCCTGTTATTCATTGAAAACCAAATCATGATCACAATCAGGATGATGATGATGATGGCGCATGAAGTGGATCCATTAGAAATGCTTGACCTGTTCAAATGTTGCAGCCTGTTATCCATTTGAAACAAAATCATGATCATAATCATCATGGTGATGATGGTGCTTGTCAAAATCGGTACACAGCTTCTTTACCCGACGCTATCTGTAAGCACTTGTGCTAAGGTGAAATTCACAGAGAATGAGACAATTCTACTTCACGTGTCAAACGTATAATTGAAACGTATAATTTCTCATCATTGCTCATTCCATTCCATTAACAACAACACCCCCTTCAAAAATATCTGGCCTCCTTTCAAAATCAGTCAGTCAAATAATCTTGCATATAAACCACCTTTCGAACTACTACTACCACCACTACTACTACTACTATTAATTTATTACATTGATGATTGAAGGGGTGACGTGGAGGTTTATGTTCATTCGAAAATCATATAAGATTATACAAGATTCAATCGAATGCGTACAGAAAGTGCCTACCTACCAACTCGATTTGATTTTCAATCAACCTTACAAATCCATCCATATGCCTGAAAAAATGTTTTTTGTTGTTTGCATAACAATAATACGACTGACTGACTAACTAACTGTGTATCAATTGATTGATTCCTCCCTCACTACCTCTTTATCAGCCTTCAATCCCTGAACTGGACTGGACTGGACTGGACTGGACTAGACTAGACTGGAATCCGCCAACTGTCTGTCTATACCAGCCGATCATTTCACAATCATCAAATTGCTCAAGTCATAAAGGAGTTACTTACACCTGCATCTACATCTACCAAGTAAGTAAGTAGTTATTATTTTCTTTCTATTATTGTAGAATTGATTAGGCTTGACACCCACAGTCGTCTGTCTTCTGTAGGGTTAGGAGGTTAGAGTGAGACAAAGTTTTCAGATAGACGAAATCATTGCAAAGCCCTGCAAGTAAAGTAAACAAGTGGATCGATCGATCGATCTATCGTTTAAGGTTAGCTGCCGACGAATTCCACACGAGTAGTAGCAATGTCAGAGAAAAGACTCATATCATCAAAGTAGCCAAACAAAAAGTGTATGGTAGGAAGCAAGGCAAGGCAAGGCAATGAGAAGAAGAAGAGGAAGAGGTAAATTGAAAATATCACACCTAGTCAAGCTTTGCTTTAGATTAGAAGACGACGTAAAAGAGTGACTAAATCTGTGCCATTGTGGCCCATTTCACCCAGAGTCAGTCAGTCAGTCAACCACTAATTCGTATTATCTAAGATATTACCAGCCCTAGCCACCCACCCACCCACCCACTCACTCACTCACTCAGTCGGTCATTCCTCAGACATCTCGTTCGCATATCAGTCAGTCATCAACATCGGGGGATAATGACTAGAGAACAAATAACAAACATTTCAACTGGTCTCATCTCATCTCATCTCATCTCATCTCATGTGATCGTAAATTCACTCTACTCGCATAATAGGCTAGTCAATATTATCCATCTGATTGAAGAATATGTCGAGTAATAATAGTAATCATAATAATAATAATAATAATAGTAATAATAATAATGTAATAATGATAATTTAGCTACCAACTATTATTTATTTCTCTCTTGGCTTCCCCCACCTCCTCCTCCTAGTGGGCGGGCGGGCTGGCTGACTGACTGACTGGTTATCAAATATAACATGATTCAAAAGTGAGCCCATGAAGATAATAATAATAATAATAATAATAATAATAAATGTCATAGAAACTCACGTTTATGAGATATATTGTGTTTAGCACAGGATAGATAAAATTCTTGTGCTCACTCGACCACAATTTCTGGTAATATGATATAGACTATTGTAGCAGAAAATAGATCTTCTTCTTCTTCTTCTTCGTCTCCTTCTTTGTTCTCTTACTCCCTCTAAAGCAATGAGATTGATGCAAAGGTGAGATGAGTTTGTGTAGAGCAGGAGAATGAATTCAGTTGACAGCAGAATCAAGATTTTTGTGTTCACTTCTCCGACCGCTCACTCTCTGCCGACTGACTGATAATTTAGTAGTCAACGCCTGAATAACAAACACTTTCTCGGGCTTCTTCTTCTTCTTCTTCTTCCTCTGCTTTGTCAAATTGCTTCTCTTGTCGAAGTTGCAGCAGCTCTTGTTTTTGCTTATGATAGATAGACTGTGACAGACTTCTTCATCATCATCAAAAGGATACTAGCGATAATAGTGCAGCTAACGAAAACCACTTTTCCTCTTGGCACCAACCAATTAGCCGAAAACAATTTTCTCTCGCTGTAATTATTATTTTAAGCATGTGATATTCGGCTCGGCTATTTATTTATATTCAGTATTACTTCTACTACTACTACTACTACTAATACTGACTTTCAACGTGCGCCATTGGTCCCGATTGACGACCATTCATGAACAAGTTGGTCAGTCAGTCAGTCTCTCCTCTCTCTGTCCTTTCCGCAAACGAGACGTGAGAATCAGGCAGTTCGCCCACCCCTCAACACGCCACCCCCTTCACAACTCTCCCATCCCGTAAACCACCATCATTTATATAATTTGAAATGACACAACGCAATCACCACATGGATTCCACTCTCAACATCATACAGCGCTTAGTTCTCCCTTGCTTGACGCACAGCCAACTAACTATGCAGACAACTTAATATAATGGATGTTATCACATTATTAATTACACATGATGATGATGATGATGATGATGATTTTGATTCGATTCGATTTGAATTGAATTGAATTGAGTTTTCTTCGTTCATACCATCCACCTTTTTTCTTGTCACTGCAACACCACGACCCCTACCCCTACTCCTACTCCTACTCCATATCACTTTCAGCATCAGCATGAGATTATAAATTTCATGATAAATAATTGACCTGTTCAAATGTTGCAGCCTGTTATTCATTGAAAACCAAATCATGATCACAATCAGGATGATGATGATGATGGCGCATGAAGTGGATCCATTAGAAAAGAAAATTTTATTGTACTAAAATCACTAACATGAATATAAAAAGTAGCGATCAGTTCTCTCAGGCTATAAGTTGAACTGATTGATCTATGAAATTCTTAGATCTACACAAACATCTAATGAATATGAAGTCAACTTTCAGCTTCACTTAACGGATTCCAGTAACAAGCAATTGAATATAAAGTTCGCTTAAACATTCAAATGAAAGATAAGGGTAATGCATAGCAAGATATTATCTGTAATAAAATACTACTTATTTAGTTAACTATATATATTTTAAGTATTGCACAAATTCTTTACTCATTTGTCCAACCAATTTTACTCTTAACTTTTGTTTTAAAGGGTGCATCTGTCTTAAGAATGATGGAGTCATTTATGGGTCGAAATGCATTTCGAGCAGGTGTCAAGGTATGTTTAAACAAAAGATTAAGGTTGAATATATAACGTCATGTCTTAAGATAATCATTTGAAATCGTGAAACACAACAATTTTTGTCGTTCACAGCATAAAGCCTTCACAGTGTGTAAGAAGATAACATTATTTCCATGTTGTTACAGAGTTTACTGGTGAGTAAAGTTTTCACGTCATTTCAGTATTGACTAGACTAAAATGTGTCACAGATGCACGAATTCTGTGACTGTTGATTTAGACAGGGTTGAGAGGTGTAGACTAACTTGCTGGAGTCCCCAAGAGGATAAAAATCAGATGTAGGAGACTAGGTGACGTTGCTGAAAATCAGTCACAATGCCAATCCAGTTTAACTTCGTAATAGACATTCTATTAGACATAACCTTAGATCGGTCTGACTTCACATGGATTTATCTCCCCCCATCACCCCCTGAAGGCCCTCTGGTTGATTTGAGGCATGCAGACGATATTGTCCTGCTAGATGAAGACGCTAATGCAGAGTTCACTGGTGAGTAAAGTTTTCACGTCATTTCAGTATTGACTAGACTAAAACTTGTCTGTTCATGAAACAAATACAGTTGGGACTAGTTAGGATATTTTTGAAAAATGAACCGACATATATCATATTTTCTGTGGACTCATTCAGTACCACTTTTACTCATATCAACTTTGCTAGAATTATGAGATCACTGCGAAATTGATGTTTGCCGAGAATCCTAAAGTTATCCAATAAGTAAATAGGGGAAGTTACGAAATTAATTCTGATGTGGATAGTAAAAATGTGAAACTCTACAACCGTAAGACTTTTGAGGTATCGTTGAACACACGAATAGTATAAGCTTAGTTAGAATGTCTTTTTATCAATAGTAATGTACAAAAAGAGTGGCTGAATTGGACATACTATATTTTTATCAAGTTGCTACCCATCATGGACTGACACCAGTTGGAGAAACACTGGGATGCTGGGAGAACTAGATAGCTGTTTCGTCCTAGTATGGGACTCCTCATCAGTACGCGCCCGTGACCCCACCCCACCAGGGATCAAATCCTCGACCTTCAGATTCCACGGTTAACACGTTTTACACTGGTTCAAACTTCGATGTTAGTCACACTTTGTCTAACTTATGAATTAGGTTATACTTCAGCTACGTTAAAGAATTTGAAGATTGAAGGTATCCTGACCAACAATGGACTGGATGGTTTGAAAAATCTTGGGCACCGAGTTAGTATGATTCATTGTATAAGGTGTATTTTTACTTGTGTAATCCTAGCGTAGTATATTAGAACAGGTAACAAAATAAACAAATATTTTGTATTATTCCTTAAAGTTTCCATCTTACTAAGATGATCCTTTTCAAGAGTATAAATCTGATATTAAGCTTTCAGGTTAATATTCAAGTTTTGTTACAGAAGGTGGTGGTGACCTTTAAAATTATCCAATTACATCGTGATATGGAGCAAAGATCTATGTAACACAGGTGAGTGAATAAGCATATCGATCAGAGAGGCTCGCACAACTGAAAAAAGCCTCACTCACATCGATGTTTGCCCGATATCAAGATGTAATTGGATGACACTTTGTTAATATCAAGCTTACACAAACCGAAGTTAGTAATTCGCAGTTTCTTTTTTCAAAACAATCTGAACAGTAATTTTCACTGTCTATTTCACGTATTATGTAAATAATGGTTATGTTTCCATCTGTTTTGTAGTGTATCTTTCTCTGTGATAAGAATAGCCTTAATAAAAGACAATTCTGAGAAAAAGAGTTTCTTTTCGACGAATCATTTCCAACAGCTGTACATCGATCGTAATCATAGTTACAACAAAATATCTACTTCAATTAATGGCTAAGGAGTCAATATATGGTCATCAAAAATGGTCAACAAAGTCACAAGATGGTAGGTGACAGGTAGGTCATATCAAGGTCACCAATTATTGCTCATAGGATTATATTAGATGAAAACAGAAGTGAATAAACAGTTTTATAGAGATCATGACCAAGGTAAAATTGGAGATTGAATGTTTCTCTTCTGAACGCAAAGAACAGGCTTGTAGTGCCGGATTATCACAGCTTTTGCTATATTGAGCTGGTGAATATGCACTCACTTCGAAATGTTTGTCTTCACTTTATAAATGACTTTGAAAGAAGACTCCAATGGTTACATAGGCCGTATAAAGCATGTTCTATCTAAACACATCTACTGACATTTTCCTGCATTCCTGTCTATAAGACAGTATAAAGTCGTCAACAGCTCGATTCTTGAGCATTTCGTTACCTCAGGACACTTTACTCCATGACAGTTTCCCTTCAAAATCATTTATGAAGTGAAGACAAAAATTTCGAAGCTAGTGCATATTCGCCACCTCAACGTAGCATAAGCTATAGCTATCCAGCAGTATAAGCCTGCTTTTTATGTTCGAAAAAGATACATTGAATCTTCAATTTTGCTTTGATCGTTATTTCCTTTAAGAGAGCTTATTCATTTCTGTCTTTATTCACTAAAATTCTGTATGCAATAATTAATGACCTTGATAAGACCTTCTACCTGTTATCGTATCACCTTGTGACTTTATTCATCTTCCTCGGTGACTTTGTAACGACTCATTAGGCATTGATGGATGTATCATATAGTATGCTTACGATGCATAGATTTTGGAAATGATACGTCGCAAAGAAAATATTTTTCTCTGATTTATCTTTTATCAATGGGACTACTTCAGCTGTTCAAAGAGTAGCTTAGTTCAGATTTCACTTTATAATTACTGCAATAACGAATATACTAACTTATTATATAGATATTGTGAATATTGTGCTCACTAGTACTGTCAGTATCCTGCAGGTTGTCATGACAGGCAGCTGTATGTTGACTAACATTACTGGTGACTATCTCATCCGCATAGCGTATGAAGTGAGTAATTTTGAGCTAATTACTATATAATCTCTTCACTAATTGTAACATGTTTAACCTACAGCTACACATTAAGCTTACATGACAATATCCAGAATACTGAGATCGATTATGATAAGTGGAGTTTTATGGATGCGTTTAATGCAACAAATACATTTTATATTTATGTAAAATCTCATCTAAACATCATCTAAACAGAAAACTTTCACAAAGACTGACTATTGTATTCACCTGCAAATAGACTATTATTCGTTTTCAGCAACTTGTAATATGTCATCATTTTCCATTTTGATTTGACCATCTTGGTGAAATATTTTTATGAATTTATGTTACACTTAAAAATCTACTATACTCATATATTTCTCGATTGCTTCTCATTCATTAAAGAATTATCTTAATCAAAACAAATACAAAAATACTGTTCATGAGGATTTATGGAGAGCACTAACTGAGGTGAGTCATGAGAATTTGGGTGCCATCAACTGAATGTATGATCTGTAATGTGTGAAGCAATATTAAATGTTTCAAATATATCTACACGCTGTATTTTTCATGTTTAGCATAGTTGTACTTATTATGTGTTGTTAGTAGTTTGTGTTTAGGTGTGAAATTTTTGTCAGACTATAAATATTATCTTCAACTACGTCAATTTACCGTTCGTTATTTCAATTGTGTTAATGAGTTTTGCGTTGGTATTGTACAACTTTCTAGGCTGTCAAGCTTTATGAAAACGATTCACAGTTGGTAAGATGCCTGTATTATTTCTCAGGTGGACACTGATTTCACTTGCCGAACACAAACGCACTGTTAATTGTAATTAGCACCGAAAATAAATTAACAGTCCACTGTAATATTGATGTATTGCATAATTCATTGTTATTATTTAATTACATTCACAATAAGATTCCTGCTAGTTAAATAAATGGAAGCAGATTAGTCATCCAAACTGAAAGTAAATGAGACCATATGTGAGTAGAAAAAAGTTGACTTTAAGAAAGAGCAATAGAACAATAGAAATATAAGGTACAACTAGGTAGATATTGTCATAGTACAAGATAAATTATCTCTAAAAATTACTTAATATATGATTGGTAATTCCATTGGAAGTCAGGTGTATCTTATTAAACTATTGTGATAGGTTGAAGAATATAACTTGTGTATTATCTTTTCCTGTTAGAATAAGCAAATTTAATTCTGGAAAATGATTTGCATAGAAATCAGAGTATTTAATCAATGCCGGTTGTATCCAAAGTCAAAATATCAGGAGATCTGCAGTGGAACTGTGACTTTCCGAAAGTGTAGTCTACGTTAGTTGGAGTCAGTTGGCAAACGCCCTTTGATCTAGGCTTCGAGGTTGTTGACACTAGACAGCAAGGTGTACGTACCTGCAACCTGATAGGTGCCGATGTCCTGGAAGGGGTTCGAACTCGCTCTACCCCATGTTGCTGTCGGCCACCCTACCATCAAACTATTCAGGTCGGGTTGTATGCTCTGAGTAATTTCTGTTAAGAATATGCAGCTATGAAATTAAAATAACTTTATACGAAGCTAACAATAGTAAGTACCTAGTTAGTATACTTGTCGCAACTCTTCTCTCAGAGACATATACACTCTTCTATTTAAGCTTAGTACTGTACTGTCTCTTCTACAATACATTGCTTCAGTAGAGTGGAAGGTGTTAAACGAATTATCAATAGTGATTGTATATTTGAACGACTGCTTATTTTGAATACTTCAGTAACACGATATAAGGTGTACAGTTGATCCATATTGTCATGTTGTACAACTAACTTTAATGAATATTGTCTTTCACTGATAAAGAAAGTAACAGGAATAAAGATGATAGTTAATCTCTAAGATTATTTACACTAAGGCTTACTTACAATACATCACAACAGACAGACAGAGCAAGTGAGTGAGTGAGTGAGTGAGTGAGTGAGTGAGTGAGTGAGTGAGTGAGTGAGTGAGTGAGTGAGTGAGTGAGTGAGTGAGTGAGTGAGTGAGTGAGTGAGTGAGTGAGTGAGTGAGTGAGTGAGTGAGTAGGTGAGTGATTGAATCAACAAATAAAAATTGAAATAACCTGCCGTAAAGTAGATAAAGAATTTGTATTACCTACACCATAGTGAAAATCATATAAACATATTGACCAAATGGTTATCATATTTGCATCCCCTTACATGCTTCTTTAATCTGTGCCAAAAATGTTTTATCAACTATTAAAACACATTGAAATGCTTCAATTATTTTTATTCACTTATTATGTAATTCACTGGAATAGTAGAAGTGTATATTTTTATTATTATCTAAATGAGTAATCATAGTGTTGTCTTGATGAAATACATGACACTATCTATCCACTTTAAACTTTAATAGATGAAGCATCTTTTCAATGTCTACACTCTATGACTTCTACAAGTAATATATGACTGTTCTCAGATTGTTTTCTTCTTTGTATAATTACAAAACAGTTGAAAATAAGTTTTCATAGCAATCCAAACTATTCACCTTTTATTTCTTTAAAGATTTTCATTGTTTAGTCTTTATAGTTTTATGATGTACAATATGGATGATGATCATCTTTGCACCATGACTAGTCATTAGGCATTTTATTGATTGTTTCTCTCTTTTTTTGGGGGGGGGCAGGTGTGTGTGTGTGTAAATATTTAACACAAAGCACATTGCACTCAGATATTCATATTTATCCATAAACTGCACAAATGAAAGAGGAGATTATCAAACATTTTATCTATTTTTCAAATATAATAAGTATGGTTTCGATTCTTTGAAGTAAAATTTTGTTTTTCTCTCTGCATCAAGTTGATCTCATCAACTTCAGTGATTGTTAGTCATCAGCTTAGTTCATATTTCACTTCAATTTATCAGTCCGTAAAGTAAGAAATTCCTTCTGTTACGAGTTTAATTGTTACACTTATGATGATTTAATTCAACTAAACTATATGAAATGTGTATTTATACTGTTGAAAAACAGTTTTGCATAGTCTCCTTTAATTCAAACTAATGACCATTCAATATTTCAGTCTCTTAAAGTATATGACACTTGTAGTTTATTACCAAATCACCCAACTGTTGGCTAAAGTTGGAATGATGAAGTTTGTAGAAAAGAAAATGATTCCATCATTGTATTTCATGAATACTCTTCAGCTGTTTACAGTCTCAGAGTACAATGGTTATATTTCATAATTCGTTTTACAACAATATCAGTGATAATCCATATAACAAAGTGAGAGAATCAATTGTAAATAGGTAAGATAGAAGAGAAATTTACAAAGAATAGATGAGTAGATGGTTATGTAGTGAAAAAGAAGATGAAATAAGACCAAACGATAACCACCAAGGGAGTAAGAGATAAACATGAGATGGCCAGAAAGAATAAACAACAAGGAACTCACTCTGGTTGGGTAACGAACCAACCAAACAACCGATCACCCAACGTGTATGCAGAAGAAAGTGGAGATGGATTGGACTGGGCATACACTGAGAAAACTATTCGAGGACATCACACATCAGGCGAGGCCAGGCCGTCGAGTGGAATCAAAATGGGAAACGACGAGTTGGGCGTCCAAAGCGTGTGTGACATGAAGGAGATCGTTTGGCGAAGAAATGGAAGCTTGTGCGCAGTGGTGGAACCAGGTTGCAAAAGACTGCAGAGGACAGAGTGAAATGGTGATGTCCTACTGAAGCCGTATGTTCCACTAGGAACCCAAGGGACAAATAATAATAATACTAATTTCTCATCTCCTTCTTAAGTGATAATTATCTACGTATTTTGTAAAACGTCCTTCATTTCTTGATTTCAACTCATATTTACTAATTCATATTGTCAAATATTCTCATGTTTCTTATGTAACTTGCTACCATTTCTATGTTGTTGTTTTTCTCTGACAATAACTCACTGAGAATTATTCATTGATAGGTGTAGGTAGTACAGTTGGTATATCTGCAACCACTATGAAATTGTTCCCCCCTCCCTCAAGGATTCGAGCCCATATCATCCAGTGTTACAGTCAATGGTGTTAACACTCATCTATTTAGGACTCGATTGACTTTCTATAGGACATCAGTGGGGCACTGGAAGTGATCAAATGACAAAACGATCAATATAATTTGGTCACTTCTTGGACAATGTGCATTTTCAGGATTGAAAACTAAACATGAAAGGAAACATAACTCATTTATTGTCCTCGACAGTTACACAGGTTCTTACAAAAGACTTAGATAACACTGAACTAGAAGAACTCGGAGAAATACTCTTTCAAAGTAGTCACTACTATAGATTTGTGGTACAGAAACCAAAACATTATACAAAACAACTTCCGAAACTTCTGCGGAAAGTCTAATTAATCGGTATACACACTTCAAAGGTGGTGACACTCCAACGCATATCATCATCCAGTTCAACGGCAAGATATACAAAAAGATGAAAGGAACTCCGATATCCGAACTAATTGCAGAAGTAGTGATGCAGAGACTGGAAGCCATCATCCTATCTGCGATCAAACCGAAATTCTGGATTCTCTATGTGGACGACACTTTTATCATCAATAAAAAGGATGATATAGAAAACACCCACAATTTGATCAACAACGTTTTCAGTGACATCAAATTCACAATGGAGAAGGAGTCAAACAATCAACCACCGTTCCTGAATGTTCTGGTCAATAGAACAAATACGGTGAAGCTTGAAACCCAAGTGTACTCGAAGCCAGCATACACTGACCGAATCCTCAATTACAGTAGCAACAACCCAACAACACACAAGATCAGTTGCGTGCAGACTCTACTCAGAAGAGCGAGAACACACTGCAGTACAACAACTTATCGTAGAATCGAAGAAAATTACTTGATGTCCATCCTAAAAAAGCACGCTTACCCACGAAACTTTATCAGAAGTTGCCTATCACGTACATCATCAAATAGAAAATCATTGATAGAAATCAGTGAACGGATCAATTTACCGTATATAAAAAACATATCAGAAATCATGATAAGATTACTGAAACCACTTGATGGAGTTGGTGTGGCTCATAAACCGACAAATTCCCTCCAAACACTACTATGCAGACCAAAGGATGCAACAATCAACTGCAATAAGTGTAGTCAACACTACATTGGATAAAGTGGTCACCCTCTTCACCTTCGTCTACATCAACACCAATTGCCTATTAAACGCCAAGACATTTCATCACTCATTTCAATGCATGTGGATAATTATGGACTTGAATTCCATTTTACCAATGTGGAAATATTGGATGGAGAGAGGAAACCCAAAGAATTTCAGAGAATTCCTAGAAGCTTAGCATTCAGGTCAGTCAGCCAGTCAGCAATCAATAGATGTATAGACATAGACCCAATCTATCAACCAATAAGAAAAATGATGAATGACAGTGAGGTGAGTGGTCAAGCAAAGGAACAGCCAACAGGAAAGTCTATAGAATGAATGACACAACAGTCGTAGGAAACAACCAATCAGAGACCACATTGTCATGGCAAGCTACTAAATCACTGACGGAGAGAAATTGACAGCTCACTTCATACTGAAGTTAGTGCTGATGATGATGTCGTTTAGCAAGACGATGAAAGTTTCACTATAAAACAGCCCAGCTCAGGGAACATAATGCAACCTGAACTACAAATATTCTCCACTATTTCAGCTTTCTAGATATTTCAGAAGGACATGGATTCAATTGGGCTCCGGAGCTTTAAGAACAAGTTAGTACTTTGAGCCATCTCAGTGTGTAACTAACTCTAAGTATACTGGCTTCTATGGAACTAGTTATAATCTATGTATTAAGTGTTCTGTTTGAAAATGAATTCCACAGAACTAGTCTGTTTCGGTTTCAAGATGTACATGCAAGTCATTGAATATTTCCATTATTCATGGTCAAATAATTCTACCGAAATCATGCTTCATAACTGTCTAACACGTCAAATTTAAGCGTTTCACATAAGTATGATTTCGTAATGCGCTTATGTTAGAAGCTTTGCTGATTAATCGGTGTATAGAAGCACATTCTAAAATGTAGAATCACGTTCAATCACTCATTATATCTTAGTCTCAGTAATACTGAATTATTAGATAAAAGATTTCCATCTTTCAATACAAATTTCTATTCTACTTTTGAACATTTTTCTAATCTGCAATCATAAATGGTTGTTTGTTCTTGGTACTCATAAATAAGATTGTACAGCCTTGGTAAATGATGTTGTTGGAGAGGAAATTTTATTCTTTGAATAGTATTCTTTCTTCCTAACAATACACTTCCTCAATCTGGAAGTTTGTGTAAACTTATTAATTGATTTCATGTTGGAATTCATTATGGACCAACATAAAATGGAGGAATATTGGGAATCAGGGAGCACTGGACAACTGCTTCATCCTAGAATGACGCCTCTGTGAGTCGAATCCTGGACCTTCAGTTTCCATCGTCAGCTCGTTTCCAATGATCCACCCGGTCAGAATCCAATAGTATGAAGAAGAGTCCCATACTAGGACGAAACACATATTCAGTGTTTCCAGGTTCTCAATGTTCCTCTAACTGTTGTCGGCCAATGATTAATTCCAAGCAGAAATACACTTCTTCACTAGGCTCAACAAGTAGTCGTAGGATGATGTAAGATTGCAGTGAATCTTTCATCAATGTACATTCTGCAAATGTTTCATTATATCCTAATTCAATATAATTCACACCATAGGCAATAGGATTTTAAGGGATCTGTGTTAATTTTTATATTTGTTCAATGTTAAATTTGATGTAAATTTGTTTTAAAACACATAGGAATTACTTTTTGTATTGTTAGGCAGCAAAACTTGTAGGGAAAGATGTAAATGTTAAATCAGTCATGGATACATGGATGAAACAAATGAATTATCCACTTGTTATTGTTCAACGAATCAATAATGGTCTATTTCAATTTGAACAAAAACACTATTTAGAGCCACCAGATGCTAAAGCAGCAAAAAATCCATCACCATATAAGTGAGTGAACTTCTCAGCTTTACTTATATTAATATCAACATTCTATCTAATAAGTGAGATATAGAGATAATTTATGCTAATAGTTTATCTGAAGTTTGATAAATAGAATCATTTTATGGATGAAAAATATGATAAAACTTGCTTATGAATAAATGTAGAGAGAAATTATGATAACGATCGATATATATGAATTGGTAAATTTTCTACTTCATCAGTAGTGATAAAAAGGTAATTTCTGGAAGAAAATCAGCTTTCAATTCGTATTGCTTAGAGTTTCCTAAAAAGCTGAATTCATATTACTAATAGGGTCATTTAAATCTGTGTCTCATTACATACAAATCAGCTTCTTCATGAGTGAGTAGAGGAAACATTCAAATTCCTAGTGACATTATACATCAAAATCTGTGTGTTTTACTTTTCACAAGATTATATAATCAATCAACCGTGAACACACTTAGTAGAATCTTCTTCTATCACGATGCTGATTTGGTAGCGTATAAAACAGACAACAAGTTTGATGATGCTTCAGTATACTGGTAAACTTGATAATTATTTTTCAATTTCTTCTACTTTCCAAACGTCTGGTTTCATCTCAGAACTTAATGAGCGAAGTACACTTATGATATTATAGGTAGACTTTCGTGAGCAGTTGATTCCGGGACATGAGGTTCGTCATATTTAGGACTTGTCAGCTAGATGCGCACCTGCCTCTCAATGACAGATATACTTATAACCAAGACTAGAACACGAGACTAATCTCTTCAAACAACAGGATATTATTTACCAGACTATCGGGTCACCACAGTGAAATCATAGAAACGGATTTATACCGCAATCAATTTTTCTCTTGATAATTGATGAATTTAAAGATTTCTGTTAAATCACTTTGCCTATTACCTAACTCCAAATTTAGTCAATCTGTTGGTCATAGGCAACTGGCTTCAAGATGTGATTCCCGAGATTCTAATTAGAAGTCATGACCAGTAGGGCCAACAAAGTCGAATATGAAGACAGCTGCTCAAAGATTGCACTGCATTCACGTCATACTTTATTATTAACTGAAAGAAGTATGACACATAATGACCATCGGATTGCAACTCAGTGACTCAATGGTGATGTGTTGGCCACAGAACCTGAACTTTCTGGGTTGGATTCCTGGTAGGATTGTGGGTGCGCACTTCTGATGAACCTCATACTAGAACGAAGAAGTTGTCTAGTCCTCCCAAGTTTTAAATGTTTCTTTAATCGATGTCAGTCCTTGAAGAGTATCACCTTGAAATGAATAAATCGTTCGGTATGTAAAAGGATAAATTAAGGTCATCTAATCTTAGTAAGGCTAATGCTCAACTCCTACCACATACACCAATGAAATTCTTCTTAGACAATATCTTGGTAAGGCTTGTTTTTATGCATTTGTTTACCACTTAAATTGCTTATCCCATATTGTAATACCCAGTTGAGTAATGTTTCCATTTTCAGCTTCACTTGGAAAATACCACTGACATATGGATCATCAAAGACTAATAATTGGGATGAAGCAGATGTTATTTGGATGATGAACAGTAAGTGATACATTGTGTATTCTCACCAATCCGCCGATGTATATGATACATAAAGTTTGACATTTCGTTAACATACAAAAGTATAGAATATGAAACGTTGATTAGACTGATATGAATGTATCGAGGCATCCACACAGGAGCCCATCTGCCGACAGCGGTCGACTAGTTCAACCCTGTATAGCAACTGGAACTTACAAGTATGATTACAATAACTGAGACCCTTTGCACACGAAGTAGCTATCGTGCCTCAGTGGCTTTGTGGACAATGCGCTTGGCGTTTGAAGAGAAGGGTTTTGAGTTCGAGCCTCTGCGAGAACGGTATCACTCACCGGAGTGCAGGTACGTCCAGCTGACAGGTCCCAATAGGAGGGAACCTGCGTCCTGAGTTCCTCCGCTAGTCACCAAATTCATTATGATATGTAAGTAGTTATATGCAGAGGAATGTGAACACGTGAAACCTTGTTGTATAGATGCTCAATATGAACACTGAGTGAATGGATGGAGTCTGTTGGCTGTATCCTATGTTTGGGAATTTGGATAAAACGACTGAGAAAGATATAGGACAAAACGATTTCAACATCAGTTATGATGATTTCTGACTGTCGCTTACTGCATACTGGTACAATTAAAGAATGGTGATGATTGACATTTTCTTCAAAATGGTAAATGAAGAGCAGTTGGTTTCAGTTCAGTGAAATGTTTTAAAATTGGATAACGAAATTCCCATATGAAAGTTCATCTCTAAATACTACCACAGAACGTCAGTGAGACCTATGAAAATTAAATGTTGTTGCTTTCACTACTTATAAATAATTGAGTAGTCCAATGTCTAAAATGGTTATCGTAACCCATTAAGGAGGACTGTTCAAGCATTAACTTGTATATTTCAAAGAGTGATTATAACATGATCCATAGATTCTGCAGGCCGACAGGTTCCCATCTTCCTGGAATTAACTGCTGTTTCAAAATTCATGTCCCCATTCATTCGTTTTTCATGACCTAACATAAATTATTGTAAAATGAATGACATAATTTCCTTACAAAGTAATGTCAGAATAGAAGAAAATAAATTATACTGAAGTTGGGCTAGAATGTGTGGAATAGAATATGAGGCATTTCGTCTTATTTGCGGCTCGTCAGCCCCCTACATCCCACTGAGTGGTGTTGTTCCCACTGATACTCGAACCATCCACCCATCACTTCAAACTCCACGGTGTTGCTCTTTAGGTCACTGGGATATGACATAGAAAGGGTATCAATTGTTATTTGATACTTGTAATTTTCCGGTTACCCTATTAGGTTCAATTCAGCGACCTCTGTAAGGAGTTTGTACGACAAGACATTCGACCTAAATCATCATCTTCCAAATCCAAAAGGTCGGTGAAGTTGAGGTAGAGAGTTGATTGCCATTCTATTGTCTTTCACTGATAAAGAAAGTAACAGGAATAAAGATGATAGTTAATCTCTAAGATTATTTACACTAAGGCTTACTTACAATACATCACAACAGACAGACAGACAGAGCAAGTGAGTGAGTGAGTGAGTGAGTGAGTGAGTGAGTGAGTGAGTGAGTGAGTGAGTGAGTGAGTGAGTGAGTGAGTGAGTGAGTGAGTGAGTGAGTGAGTGAGTGAGTGAGTGAGTGAGTGAGTGAGTGAGTGAGTGAGTGAGTGAGTGAGTGAGTGAGTGAGTGAGTGAGTGAGTGAGTGAGTGAGTGAGTGAGTGAGTGAGTGAGTGAGTGAGTGAGTGAGTAGGTGAGTGATTGAATCAACAAATAAAAATTGAAATAACCTGCCGTAAAGTAGATAAAGAATTTGTATTACCTACACCATAGTGAAAATCATATAAACATATTGACCAAATGGTTATCATATTTGCATCCCCTTACATGCTTCTTTAATCTGTGCCAAAAATGTTTTATCAACTATTAAAACACATTGAAATGCTTCAATTATTTTTATTCACTTATTATGTAATTCACTGGAATAGTAGAAGTGTATATTTTTATTATTATCTAAATGAGTAATCATAGTGTTGTCTTGATGAAATACATGACACTATCTATCCACTTTAAACTTTAATAGATGAAGCATCTTTTCAATGTCTACACTCTATGACTTCTACAAGTAATATATGACTGTTCTCAGATTGTTTTCTTCTTTGTATAATTACAAAACAGTTGAAAATAAGTTTTCATAGCAATCCAAACTATTCACCTTTTATTTCTTTAAAGATTTTCATTGTTTAGTCTTTATAGTTTTATGATGTACAATATGGATGATGATCATCTTTGCACCATGACTAGTCATTAGGCATTTTATTGATTGTTTCTCTCTTTTTTTTGGGGGGGGGCAGGTGTGTGTGTGTGTAAATATTTAACACAAAGCACATTGCACTCAGATATTCATATTTATCCATAAACTGCACAAATGAAAGAGGAGATTATCAAACATTTTATCTATTTTTCAAATATAATAAGTATGGTTTCGATTCTTTGAAGTAAAATTTTGTTTTTCTCTCTGCATCAAGTTGATCTCATCAACTTCAGTGATTGTTAGTCATCAGCTTAGTTCATATTTCACTTCAATTTATCAGTCCGTAAAGTAAGAAATTCCTTCTGTTACGAGTTTAATTGTTACACTTATGATGATTTAATTCAACTAAACTATATGAAATGTGTATTTATACTGTTGAAAAACAGTTTTGCATAGTCTCCTTTAATTCAAACTAATGACCATTCAATATTTCAGTCTCTTAAAGTATATGACACTTGTAGTTTATTACCAAATCACCCAACTGTTGGCTAAAGTTGGAATGATGAAGTTTGTAGAAAAGAAAATGATTCCATCATTGTATTTCATGAATACTCTTCAGCTGTTTACAGTCTCAGAGTACAATGGTTATATTTCATAATTCGTTTTACAACAATATCAGTGATAATCCATATAACAAAGTGAGAGAATCAATTGTAAATAGGTAAGATAGAAGAGAAATTTACAAAGAATAGATGAGTAGATGGTTATGTAGTGAAAAAGAAGATGAAATAAGACCAAACGATAACCACCAAGGGAGTAAGAGATAAACATGAGATGGCCAGAAAGAATAAACAACAAGGAACTCACTCTGGTTGGGTAACGAACCAACCAAACAACCGATCACCCAACGTGTATGCAGAAGAAAGTGGAGATGGATTGGACTGGGCATACACTGAGAAAACTATTCAGGACATCACACATCAGGCGAGGCCAGGCCGTCGAGTGGAATCAAAATGGGAAACGACGAGTTGGGCGTCCAAAGCGTGTGTGACATGAAGGAGATCGTTTGGCGAAGAAATGGAAGCTTGTGCGCAGTGGTGGAACCAGGTTGCAAAAGACTGCAGAGGACAGAGTGAAATGGTGATGTCCTACTGAAGCCGTATGTTCCACTAGGAACCCAAGGGACAAATAATAATAATACTAATTTCTCATCTCCTTCTTAAGTGATAATTATCTACGTATTTTGTAAAACGTCCTTCATTTCTTGATTTCAACTCATATTTACTAATTCATATTGTCAAATATTCTCATGTTTCTTATGTAACTTGCTACCATTTCTATGTTGTTGTTTTTCTCTGACAATAACTCACTGAGAATTATTCATTGATAGGTGTAGGTAGTACAGTTGGTATATCTGCAACCACTATGAAATTGTTCCCCCCTCCCTCAAGGATTCGAGCCCATATCATCCAGTGTTACAGTCAATGGTGTTAACACTCATCTATTTAGGACTCGATTGACTTTCTATAGGACATCAGTGGGGCACTGGAAGTGATCAAATGACAAAACGATCAATATAATTTGGTCACTTCTTGGACAATGTGCATTTTCAGGATTGAAAACTAAACATGAAAGGAAACATAACTCATTTATTGTCCTCGACAGTTACACAGGTTCTTACAAAAGACTTAGATAACACTGAACTAGAAGAACTCGGAGAAATACTCTTTCAAAGTAGTCACTACTATAGATTTGTGGTACAGAAACCAAAACATTATACAAAACAACTTCCGAAACTTCTGCGGAAAGTCTAATTAATCGGTATACACACTTCAAAGGTGGTGACACTCCAACGCATATCATCATCCAGTTCAACGGCAAGATATACAAAAAGATGAAAGGAACTCCGATATCCGAACTAATTGCAGAAGTAGTGATGCAGAGACTGGAAGCCATCATCCTATCTGCGATCAAACCGAAATTCTGGATTCTCTATGTGGACGACACTTTTATCATCAATAAAAAGGATGATATAGAAAACACCCACAATTTGATCAACAACGTTTTCAGTGACATCAAATTCACAATGGAGAAGGAGTCAAACAATCAACCACCGTTCCTGAATGTTCTGGTCAATAGAACAAATACGGTGAAGCTTGAAACCCAAGTGTACTCGAAGCCAGCATACACTGACCGAATCCTCAATTACAGTAGCAACAACCCAACAACACACAAGATCAGTTGCGTGCAGACTCTACTCAGAAGAGCGAGAACACACTGCAGTACAACAACTTATCGTAGAATCGAAGAAAATTACTTGATGTCCATCCTAAAAAAGCACGCTTACCCACGAAACTTTATCAGAAGTTGCCTATCACGTACATCATCAAATAGAAAATCATTGATAGAAATCAGTGAACGGATCAATTTACCGTATATAAAAAACATATCAGAAATCATGATAAGATTACTGAAACCACTTGATGGAGTTGGTGTGGCTCATAAACCGACAAATTCCCTCCAAACACTACTATGCAGACCAAAGGATGCAACAATCAACTGCAATAAGTGTAGTCAACACTACATTGGATAAAGTGGTCACCCTCTTCACCTTCGTCTACATCAACACCAATTGCCTATTAAACGCCAAGACATTTCATCACTCATTTCAATGCATGTGGATAATTATGGACTTGAATTCCATTTTACCAATGTGGAAATATTGGATGGAGAGAGGAAACCCAAAGA